GCTCACTACAAGGTCCGCAGTTCCTGGGGAGAAAGGTGAGGCTCTACATATCTGTGAAGAAGTACAGGAACGGAGCCCACTGGGGCAGGTCTGCTTTGTCCTGTAAGGTCACAGCAAGTTGTCGCCGGCAGGATGGCAGTGGGGGAGTGCACGGTGTGTAGGTGACAGACAGTGAAAGGTCTGGCATCTGTGTGTCCATCTGCCATCTGATTTTGGTGCTGGTGGCCAGCACCGGCTGAGCAGACAGGTGAGGCCCATGCCCACAGCACAGGGAAGGAGCTCACCTCCCTAGGCATCTGTCTGCACATGCCCTTGCCTGTGACCTTGGACCAGCCACTGGTCTGTGGGGCCGGAGTCCACAGGTCAGACTGGGGTTTCACGACGCAGCCGCAGGTGCAAGTTCATATGAACAGAGCAGTTCTTGGAGGGAGGGGAGCGGGGCTGGGGTAGAGCCTGGGGCTGGTAGAGCCTGGGGCTGGCGTGCTGTGTGTTGGGTCCTGACTGGGTTGCTCTTCCTGTAGGCTACCTTCCTGTTACTGACCACCAGTCCGCCTGCGGCTCTGCTGGCCCTGGGGTCCCAGAGGCCAGCCCTGGGGTCTGCAGACAGACAGGGAGGCAGGGGAGGTTGGCACAGGAAGTGGGACCCAGCAAGCAGTGTCTGCCCTGACCCCTCCATTCACCCAGCCTCCAGTGGCCCTGTCCCCTAGAGCCAGCCAGCGAGCGAGGGCGGTGATGGGCTGGACCATGCGGCTCTGTGATAGTTCCCTCCATTTCCTGTGCGGTGTGGCGATAAGTGGAGGTGACTGCAGCTGCCGAGGCGGATGGTGGGGGCGGGAGGAGGACACTTGGGGGAGGATGTTTCCAGCGCTGAGTGGCTGCCTGCTGGGCGGCCAGGCAGTGTGTCCCAAGGCGCTGGGCAGCAGGCTGCAGTGGGTGGCCCAGCATGAGTCAGGCCATGGCGGTGGTGAGGGCGGTGCTGGGGGCCCCTCCCGGCCCCTGGTGGGGTTGGGGGGGCCTCTTGGTTTCCGCTTGTTGGTGCCTCATGGGCTCTGGGATGCGCACAGGGCCTCGTGGGACACTGGGGCGGAAGATGAGGCTCTCGGTAACCTAAGGACGTCACAGCCAGGACAGTGGTAGACCCTGCGTCTGCCAGGTGGTCTCTGTCCTGCAGGTGAAGCCCTGAAGCTCAGCGAGGCCAGGCCGAGGGGCAGTGAGTCCAGGGGTGGGATGGCTGGGACTGTGTGCATGTGTGTCCGTGTAGGAGTGAGGGAGGTCCGTGGATGTGTGCACATCCATGTGCATGTGCCTGTGTGCTCCAGCCCTGCCTGCCCTGTGGGGCCCGGCTTTACCTCCTGGCTGGTAGCCACCTTTTTGCAGCTATGATGCTGAGCACGGTTCAGCAGAACCTCCAGCCTGAGTCGGAGTAGGAAAGAAAGGCCTGGTGATGGGCAGCAGAGCTCAGCCATTGGACACCCACTGTGCTGACCCAGCTGTCCCCTGAGGGCAGGGTGACGGTGGCATTGAAGCCATGGCATACCTGGGGGCGCAGTTGGTTATTTCCAGGGGATGTTGGCAAGGGTCTGGGGACAGTGGCATGGTGGGCTCAGCTTACAGAGGGCCCTGGTGGCCACTGTGAGCCCTGTGCCCCTCTGGGCCCTGGAGTCTGATGCTGTGTGGGCGTGGGCTGGTCCAGAGGCCAAGGAAGCACCACCCTGGGAAGGTTGGGCCAGCCAAGGCTGTGTCCTGAGCCAGGCACAGTGTCGGCTGTGTGTGTGTGTGTGGGGGGGGGGGGGGTGCGCGGAACTCGGTCCCCATGGCTGTCCTGGGAGACACCATGCTCCCCTGGTCACTCAGAGCAGCATCTGAGCCCCCACACCCTCGGTGTCCTGGAGCAGGCATCCCCGGCTCCCGATCCCTGGGGGCTCCCCAAGGACTGTCCCAAACCACGAAGGTGACCCCTGTGCCTGCCCTGACGCCCCTTCACCCCGACCCTCCCACAGGAACGGGACGGCATGCGGGCCATCCTGGGTTCCTATGACAGCGAACTGACGCCAGCTGAGTACTCCCCGCAGCTGACGCGCCGCATCCGAGAGGCGGAGGACATGGTCCAGAAGGTGCACGCCCACAGCTCCGAGGTCGAGGTGAGGGCTGGTGGGTCGGTGGGCCGGGCCTCGTGGGGGTGGGAGCAGGTACCATCCGGTGGGCATCTGCTCTGGTGGCCCTATGGCCCTGCCTTTCTGTGGCACGTGAGTTGTTCTGGGCCTGCAGACACTGCTACTGCCCAGCCCCCTCCGAGTGGGCCCCATTGTTGAACAGGGTGCTGGACCAGTGGGCAGCAATGCCATGTCCTCGGCGAGTGTGCCAACCACGGCCCCCAGGACACCCAGAAACCAGCCCTGATTGTAGAGACCAGCCTGTGTGTCCCCAGGGGCTGGTGGCCGGGTGGCCAGGAGACCAGGTGGGCAGATTGGTAGGTGGACGGGCAGGTGGGTGGGTGGGTAGGTGGGCTGGCAGGTGGGTGAGTGCGTGGGTGGACTGGTACCCAGGTGAGCGGCTCCCCAAGCACATACTGTGGGAGCTGGCTGCAGCATGAAGCGGTGTGTGGACAGATGGTGGCTTTGTGACTCAGTGTTTGTGTTAGGGTTAAGAGCCCACCAAGGTCCTGCTGCCCCTCCCTGTGCCCTGCCCTCCTGGGCCTCAGCCTGGCCTGAAGCTGCCCCTCAGGCAATGGCCAAGCATCCCTCTGGCACTGCCCACTGTGGCTGCCCCTCCTGCCCAGCACCAGGCTCTGCAGGCAGGACCTGTGGAACGGGGTCTTGCTTGGTCAGGGCCTCTGCCCCACCACTTGCCTCTTTCACCTAGTGCTTTGTGCCCCGTGCCCTGGCAGGTCAACGGGAGCTTCCTGCCCTCAGAGCCCGAGGTGGGCATGCCTGTGTGCTGCCAGCCCCACTCGCTGTGAGCTGTTGCTAGGTCAGGGCCACCATCGGCTTCTGGATAGGGCAGAGATGGCCTCTGAGAGCCCAAGCTCACCACTAGGTGGCAGCAGATAGGGCTGCCGGCCCTACTTGTGAGCAGGCAGCACCTTGAAGTGGGGGCGGGGTCGAGACGTGGGCAGGGGTGGAGGGCAGTGGAGGGCACCGCCTTGGGGTGGGGAAGGGGTGGAGGGGAAGGTAGTGATATGGAGGGCAGGCAGGGCACCGCCTTGGGGTGGGGTGAGGTGCAGGGGAAGGTGGAGGGTGGGCAGGGCAGATCAGGGTGCAAGCTGCCCTGAGGGAGTGCTGCAGAAGCCCATGTGGTGGGGGAGGCAGAGCCGAGCTGCTTTGTGCCCCTCACCCCGTGTCATCTTGGGCGCCGCTTGGGGACACCAGTGACCAAGACCCACCTGGTGACTGTGTGAAAAACCGGCCATCAGAGTCCCTCCTCAGTGCGCATGGAGCCCTTGGGAGAACAGGGCACAACTCCTGCTCCCCCGCTGTGTGTGTGTATGTGGGTGGGGGCTCTGTCAGCCCCTCCTGCACTGACCCAGGGCAGGTGCAGGGCAGGGTGCTCAGCTCGGGGTGGGTCCTGGCGTGTCTGAGCTGAACTCAGGAGAGAGGCACTGGGCATGCACAGGGCCTGGGGTTCTCTCCTGGTGATCCCAGGGGAGCTGAGAGCCAGGGCACCCAGCAGGCTTCCCATGCAACCAATGCTGGATGGAGGGGCCGGGTTATGGGGAACTGGGCGGTATGGGTGGGCGCCACAATACTCTGGTGGGTGTCCAGAAGCTTGGGGGCCTGGCTGGCTGGGTGCACAGATCGGTGGGGGGCGGGGCACAGGGTGGATGGGGGCGTGTGTACATGGACGCACAGCCAGGTATGTGTGATGGTTGGACCCATAGATGGACGGATGGTCCCACAGATGCCTCGACGGAGGCTCAAGCAGATGCCGTATGGATGCACAGATAGATAGATGGACAGACAGATGGGCGGATCGATGGTCAGGTGGATTGGTGATGTGGACGGAGCGTGAGGTGGGCGAGCAAGGACATGGGAGTTCTCATTTCATAGCCAGGTTGGGTGCCATCACTTGATTCTGGCACCGCGTGCAGCGTGGAACAAGCCCGCGTATCCCTAGGTTGTGGGCTCTGGGGGCAGGTGGCCAGCTCTCCTGGGAGCCTCTAGGTGGGCTCAGATGGAGCCCTCTTGCTCAGCAGCCGAGGGCTGGTTTCGAGCCCTCAGGGCTTCCAGAGGCTGTTGCGAGGTGATGCAGACCCTAACCCATC